GACCTCCCCACCCAGCCCAGCTCTCCAAGGCACACACAGATAACACAGACCCGGGGTTGTTTGCTCAGGCACAGGCGGCAAATCACAGGAGCGGGACCCGGCACCATCAGCCTGGAGATAGGGGAAGTGCTCGTTGGGCCATTCTGCTGGGAGAGCCTTTAAACAAACAAGCAAAGATGATAGCACACAATGCAGCTTGTGAGCGAGGGGCCGGAGGCAGGGGCAAGGCAGGCACAGAGCATCATAGACCCATAGAATGGTTTGGGTTGGAAGGGACCTCAAAGCTCCTCCAGCTCCAACCCCTGCCACGGGCAGGGACCCCTTCCACTGGAGCAGCTTGCTCCAAGCCCCTGTGTCCAACCTGGCCTTGAGCACTGCCAAGTTCAGATTTAGCCCAGCTCTGGTCCATTCTCCTACCATGAGCAATGCCCCCAGATGTTGAACTGTGTCTTGGTAGAGCCCTGATCCAACGCTTGCCACTGTGACTCCCTTTACACTCGAGGGAGAAAACTCTGCTCCACGTCTGGTCGCTGCCACCAGCCATGGGGAGGGCTCTGGGCACTGTGGCACTGCAGACACAGCATTCCCACTGATGGCTCCCGTCCCTTCCCCAGCCCAGCACGCCAAGTTCCAGCCATCACGATCCAGCACGTACCAGGTGGTGGGGACGCCCTTCTCCATCCAGTACGGCACCGGCAGCTTGACGGGGGTCATCGGAGCCGACCAAGTGGTCGTGAGTCACCTTCGGCTCCTCCTGCTCTGCACAACGTCCCCGGGGCTCGCCCACAGGCTCGGCATCACCGCTGCCCCTCCTCGCCGCAGGTCGAGGGCCTCACCGTGAGCAACCAGCAGTTCGCCGAGAGCGTCAGCGAGCCGGGGAAAGCCTTTGTGGATGCTGCGTTCGACGGGATCCTGGGGCTGGCCTATCCCTCGCTGGCCGTGGGGGGCGTCACCCCCGTCTTCGACAACATGATGGCTCAGGACCTGGTGGAGCTGCCCATGTTCTCCGTCTACCTGAGCGCGTACGGAGCCGGCTTTGCTCCGGGACACGGCTCAGAGCCGGGAGTGGCTTTGGGGGGACAAAAGGCAAAATGGGTCACGGGGAGAGTGAAGGGATTTTCCTCGAGGAGTCATGGGATGGGTTGGGTGGAAGGGACCTCAAAGCTCCTCCAGCTCCAACCCCTGCCACGGGCAGGGACCCCTTCCACTGGAGCAGCTTGCTCCAAGCCCCTGTGTCCAACCTGGCCTTGAGCACTGCCAGGGATGGGGCAGCCACAGCTTCTCTGGGCACCCTGTGCCAGCGCCTCAGCACCCTCACAGGGAAGAGCTTCTGCCTTAGATCCAACCTAAATCTGCTCTGTTTCGGTCCCGTGCTGATCATCACGGGCTGCAGCAAGGAATGACCCAAAGCATTTGTGGGAAGCAAGTGGAGATAAATGCACCTCTTTAGGATGAGGTGTGCAAAGTAAAAGGGAGGAAACCCCTCATTTATCCTCCTTCTCCTCCCTCCAGGAACCCGGAATCATCCCTGGGAGGGGAACTGCTCTTTGGTGGCTTCGACCCTTCCCGCTTCACAGGGACCCTCAACTGGGTGCCGGTCACCCAGCAAGGGTACTGGCAGATCCAGCTGGACAAGTGAGTCCGGGGCAGGGAGGGAAGGGCTGGGCTGGGGCACAGGAGCAGGATGAGTCCTTCGTGCTCCTTCCCTCCTTCCTCCTCCCCCAGCGTCCAGCTCGGGGGGGCAGTGACTTTCTGCACCAGCGGGTGTCAGGCCATCGTGGACACGGGCACGTCGCTCATCACGGGTCCCACCAAGGACATAAAGGAACTGCAAAGCTCTATTGGTGCCACTCCTGTGGATGGCGAGGTGAGAGCGGTGGTGGGGAGCGGAGGGGGGCAAAGCCCTGGGACCCCCCTTGCCCTATGGGGCAGCAGCGCTGAGCTGGGGCGGTTTTGCAGTACGCTGTGGAGTGCAGCAGCCTCAGCGTGATGCCGGATGTGACCTTCACCATCAATGGGCTGCCCTACACTCTCAGCGCCCAGGCCTACACCCTCATGGTACTGCCGCAGCTCCAGCACCCCCAGTTCCCAGCGTGCCGGTGGGTGACGAGCTCCATGCTCCGTGCATGGGACTCGCGGTCACCATTCCCACGTGTTTCCATACGGGTGCGTGTCCGGTTTTACCCTTCTCCTTCCAGGAATACAGCGATGGAATGGCCTTCTGCACCAGCGGCTTCCAGGGCATGGACATCCCCCCTCCCGCCGGGCCCCTCTGGATTTTGGGTGATGTCTTCATCCGCCAGTTTTACTCCGTCTTCGACCGTGGTAACGACCGAGTGGGGCTGGCGCCCGCTGTCCCCTAAGGCTGAGCACCCCTGGGGCAGGATGGGAGCGGAGCCTCAGCAGGGCAGGGGCTATCGGTGAGCCTGGAGGTGATGAAGGCACCGGGGGCTGCAGCTGGAGAGCGCAGCAGAGGGTCCTTGCGCACTGAGGATGCCTTCAGCATCGCTGTGATCTGCTTTGCGGCTTCTCTTGGAGGGGGGTTTAAGCACTTGCCAATAAAAGCTTCCATAAACCAAACCCTGGCGTGCTCGTGTTGTGATGGGCAGGACTGGAGCAGAAAGGTCACACCTCGGCTGGGATTTCCACATGGGCAGAAGAGGACACTTTGCCCAGGTAGAGCAGAAAGCAGAAGGTGATGAGGAGCCTGGAGAGGCCCTGGGGCTGTTTCTGAGCCGCAAACCTGCAGGAACAACCAGTGATTTCCAGTGAAATCTGCTCTGATCCTCTGGGGAGCTCACAAAGACAACGTGGCTGTGGGTGCTTGGAGCCGGAGATGGAAAAGCAGCTGCACAGCTCTGCCATAGGGATGGGTTAAGGGGGTTGTCAGGGGCTTTGAGGGGCTATGGAGGGAATGGGGCCCTGGGTGTCTGGGGGGAAGGGGGGGGGCTGCTCTGACCCGCTGCCAGTGCAAGGGATGCAGGAGAAAGCAGAAGCAATCACAGCTCATGAGTGATGCACCCTGAGGCACATGCAGAAGGCAGAGAGAAAGGGAAGCACAGAGCAGGGTTATTTTTATCTGCGCCTCCAGATCCAACACTGAATCCAGGCCCTGCAGTGTCTGCAGTTGAGGATGAGGTGTCAGGGTCCTCTTCCTGCCTTTGGGGCTGCTGCATCCTCCCCAGAGCAGAGCAGGCTTTAGGGCTGGGTCCGAGTGCTGGAAATCGAGATCTGGTTGTAAACGCTGTGGTTTGCAACAGGAGGAAATCTCTGCCTTATTCAGGGTATCGACTGTGCCACTGACCAGCGTATGGCTTCTGAAACCGGTTCCTCTATCGACTTCACCCCAGCTGCTCGCTCCCCAGGCAGCACTGGAAGATAAGGTGCTGGGGCTGCTGGACAAAGGTCTCCTCTCCCTCTTGGAGCTTAACTCTTAGCACACCAAGGTGCTGCTGGGCACCAGCCCATCACCGCAGCTGCAGGCAGCAAAGGAGCGCCCAGCTCCCTCAGCATAAGGACCACTCAGTGCCTCCAGGCCTGGACTCGACCAGGACTGCTCAATGCTGTTGGGGTCCCAGAACATCCAGAGTCACCTTGGCAGGTCTGGGGCATCCTTTGCCTCCCTACACCCACACATGATAGATGCTCAGGGGATGCTGCTACAGCAAATACTGAGCATTCCAATAGGGAGCAACCCATCTCCGACTGCAGATGTGGCTGAAAATCCATAGGGAAGTTTAGTCCTTCCGATGCCTTTTGCTTTCTTCCCCTTCCCTCACCGTCACGGCCCTGCAAGCCTCGGGGAACTGCCCATTCCCTCCTCATCCACATGAGCCTGTCCTCAGGATGTGGCAGTCTCCAGCTTGTGTTCATCATCTCCCAGCTGCGAGGTCTTCCCCATAGTCACAGGGCACAAAACCCACGCTCTTGTTCCTCAGAAGCGCTGACTTGGTGAAGCACCAGGGCAGGATTGGAGCTGTGCTTGCAGGACTGTGCTTGCAGTCTTGGCCATCACCTCCTCTCCACCACTGCTCCCGCTGCCTCCATCCGGGCGCCGCTCACACCAGGAGCAATGACAAGAGCAGGAGCTTTGGGAAAATCCCTTTTCTTGTGATCCCAAGCAGAAGCTGGAGCCGGTGCTGGGCTCCGGGCTGGGTGCAGCCCCTCCTGCCCAAAAGCAGAAGTGGCTGCAGGCATCAGCTCAGCAACGCAACTGCAAACCCCATCTCCGGCTGCGAGGAGGGATGCGATCATCTGACCGGGTGAGCAACCTCCATCCCGCCGGCCTTGGAGGGGCACAAGGAGAGGAAGGAGGGCACAAGCAGTCAGGGGAGAGGTCGGACAGCAGAGCCCGGCTGCAAGGGCAAAGGTGAAGGAGCCCGATGGAAACGGGCTGCAAACAGGGAGCAGGAGAGAGCTGCTCCAGGGAAACACCAGCCTTCACCCACCACCCACCGGTGAGAGCAGCTCAGGAGCTTCTGCTCATCCCAGCCCCTCCCAGCGCCTGCCCTGTGGGGGATAAAACCAGACATTTCTGGCCAGACAGGTCCCGGAATCACACGTGGGAAACAGGAGGATTTGTGCTGCCGAGAGCAGCGAATCCCCCCGGGGTCCCACTGGGGGTGCTCAGGGGAAAAACCCGACAGAACCGAGGGCAGCCGGTGCCAAAGCACAATCTGGGGCCGCGAATGCGCCTGCTTCCACCCTGCCCCTCTGCTGCCGGCCAAAGGAGCCGCGGAGCCCACAGCCCCCTCCAAGGGAACCTGTCCCTCCGCTGCCCGCCTCTGGGGACCAGACCCCAGCCCCACCTCGCTCCTGCCGCGAGCCGTCCCCAGCTCCCAGAGCCTCTTATCCCATCCCTATGGGGGCAAGGCCCGGGGTGGCTCCCGCGGGGCCGCTCAGCCCTCACCCCCGCCCCGGGCAGGACCGCGGGTCCTGGCCTCAACGATCCCGGGTCCGGGGGGAGCCCTGCGGGAACCCCAGCGCCCGCCCGCGGCTCCGGCTGCATCTCGGCCCCTTTCTGCTGATGTCACGGCCCGGGGCCCCGCAGCCGCCTTCCCCGGGCAGGAAACCCTTCCCTGGATCCTCCTCCCTCGCCTCTCCCCTCCCCGCGGGAGCGGAGCCCGCAGCCCCGGCCACCCCACACGCGGATGCCCCGGCAGGTGAGCGCAGCGCCCTCCGTCCCCGCGGCCCCGGGGCTGGGCACGGGAGCGGGGAGCGGCCGCCGGCAGGGAAAACCGGGCCGGGAAACTCCATTTTGGGCGTGAAGCTCCGGGAACTCCGGCGCACGGGGTGGGAAGTTTGTGCGTGCCGGGACACGGGGCGCTGCCCGCGCCGGGGATGATGCCCGCAGCCGGGATGTGGTGGGAGGGGGGAGCGGGAGAGCCTGGACCCCACAGCCCGGGCAGGGGGGCTGTGCCAAGCGGGAACAGCGCGGGGCTGGCCAACGCATGCGGGAAAAACGCAGGGATGAGGCTGTCAGCGTTTCCATCCGCGCGGAGCCAACGTGGACAGGGCAGCCGGGAGGGACCACGGGAGGATGCTGGACCCCAGGGATGGCCGGGCACAGAGCGCGAGGGACACCAGGGATGGGGATGCGGCTTTGGGGGAGCCTTTCGGGGTGCTCCCGGCATCCCTGGGCTGTGCTGGGGCACCCAGGGGATTCCGGACTCCTTTAATAAAGGCGCTTTTTCACAGCCCCCCCCCCCCCCCCCCCCCGGTGTGTGCCGGGTTTCGGGGGTGCGATGGCACTTCCGAGGGAGAGGGAGAGGCAGGGAATCGCTGAGAGCAGTTCAATGCTGTGCTCTGGTGCGGAGCAGTGGCGTGTCTGGACGTGCACTGGCACCTCAGGAGCCAGGCCCAGGCTGCAGCACGGGGAGTTTCTGCTCCCAAAACCATTGGGATGTGAGCATGGGATGGTGCTGGTTTGTTGTGGACATGGGGATGGTCAGGGTGGGAGCAGGGAAAGGCCTTAGGGAGCCAGTGGGAGCTGGCCCCATCCCTGCAGCTCCGTGACTCCCTCCTGTCCCACAGGGTCTGTCCATGGATGCCAGCAAGAAGGTGGATCTGAAGATAATCATCATTGGAGCACTGGGGTAAGGGGTGGTGCCGGCAATGGGAGGGAAGCGCAGGGGAGCCTGGGGCTGTGCAGCCCCTGTCCTTGCTGCCGCCAGCCCCTTAAGCCTGGCTTTGCAGGGGGCTGTAGCGATAGGACAAGGGGCAATGGGTTCAAACTGGAACAGGGCAAGTTCAGGTTGGAGATAAGGAAGAAGCTCTTCCCTGTGAGGCGCTGGCACAGGGTGCCCAGAGAAGCTGTGGCTGCCCCATCCCTGGCAGTGTTCAAGGCCAGGTTGGACACAGGGGCTTGGAGCAAGCTGCTCCAGTGGAAGGGGTCCCTGCCTGTGGCTGGAGCTGGAGGAGCTTTAAGGTCCCTTCAACCCAAACCATTCCATGATTCTCTGTCCCTTCCCTCCCACCAGCGTGGGCAAAACCTCCCTCCTGCACCAGTTTGTGCACAAGACGTTCTATGAGGATTACCGCACCACGCTGGGTGCCAGCATCCTCACCAAGGTCCTCGTGGTGGACAACACCTCCCTGAAGCTGCAGGTGAGCAGTGGGGCTGGAGCCCTGTGTCCCACCGTGTCCTGATGTCCCCAAGTGCCATCAGGGTCATGGGGCACGGGGCTGTATTCACAGAGCCTGAGTTTCAGCATCCATGAGCAATCCCACTTGAGTTTAGGGGCTCAGCACCTCCTGAAGCTAGTCCCCTGAGCTTACCGTGGCACAGGGCTTGTGACGTGGGTCTGTACCTGTGCCCTTCTCTGCCCTAGATCTGGGACACAGGGGGACAGGAGCGATTCCGATCCATGGTGTCAACCTTTTACAAAGGCTCGGATGGCTGCATGCTGGCTTTTGACGTGACAGACAGGGAGTCCTTTGAGTCCCTGGACAACTGGAGAGATGATTTTCTGGAGAAGGTCATCCCAAGGGAGCAAGATTTCCCCATGGTCGTGCTGGGGAACAAAATAGACCTCTGCGACCGGCAGGTACGGGTGGAGGAGAGTGGGGTGTGTGGATTGGGACACCTTGGTGCCCTAATGCTGGTCCTTGCCCTGCAGAGCCAAGCTTCTCCCTATGCTCTCACGAAACCCAGGCTCCCAGGCAAGGAGCTGTTGAGCTCCCAGTGCTGCTGCCTCTTGGAGGGAATAAGCAGAGTCCTTCCTTCCGCTGCCCTTTGCAGCAGCGATTGTGCCCAGGAATGAAGCATCTCAGCTGCCTGCACTGCAGCGTCCACCCAGCAGTGCCTGGGTGGACATCAGGGTCCCCTCCACCAGCTCCGCTCCGGGCTGCGAGGTGGCTCCATCCTCCTTTCCCGCAGGTATCCAAGGAGACGGCCTCAGCCTGGTGCAAGGAGAAGGACATCCCTTACTTCGAAGTCAGCGCCAAGAACAACATCAATGTCGCGGAGGCTTTCGAGACCCTGGCAAAGCAGGCGCTGGCAACGGTGAGCCCACCCTCCGGTGCAGAGCATCCTCCTGCCCCACCGCGTGGGAGAGCCCCAGGGAAGAGACCCCACCAGCGAATGAGTGCTTAAAATAGATCCTAAATCGGCTGGGAAGGAGCCAGGATTGCCCTTTCTCCTTGCTCTCCCACGTGTGGCACTGAGCAGCGCTCCAGCACTGTCCTCTAGTGGCCGTCCCATGGGGACCTCCGTGTCCCCGCACCAAGGGAGCTCCTCCAGGCGGCTTTTCCATAGGTTTTGTCCTCAGCAGTGAATCAGACCCGCAGCTCTGCTGCCCAGGCCCTCAGCCCGGCTCGGAGCTGGCCCCGTTCACCCTTTCTCTTCTCTTCTCTTTCTTCCAGTACAAAGGGATCTTTGAGAGTTACCTAACTGACTCCATCAAACTCACACCCAGCGACAAGCCCAAGAAGAGCTGCTGCTGACCCCGGGCAAGCACAGCCCAGGCGGGCCGGACCCCACGATGTCCATGGCCATCCCGGCCTCGGAGGCTGCCCAAGCCAGGACCCCATCAGTGACCACTCAGCACACTGGGACCGGCTGCTTGCGCACCCCAGGACTTGCTGCTTCCCACCCGTCCGGAGCTGCTCTCCCGCCGTCCCCCTTGATCCGCCGGCACCCGAGCGGGTGACTCCCCGTGGTGACGGTGCCAGGGCGCTGCTCCGATGCCCTCCCATGGCCCTTCCCATGCGCGGTGTTCCCGGTGGGGAGAAGCGGGGCTGGCGGCCACGGCGCGGGGCTGAGCCCAGCCAGGTCCCCTCCTGGGCTCAGCCGCTGTGGATGCAACCATCGCGTGCCTCAGTTTCCCCTGCTCCCATGCAGGAGCCACCTCCCGCCTCACTGGTGAGGACCCCCAGTGAAGCCCTTGTCAGGGATCCTTTTTTTAGGGAAAGGAATTAAATCGTTCATTTTTATTTGTAGACACCCCCTTTATCCATGCACGCGAGTACATGGATGCGCTCCTGCGGCCCCGCAGCAGGAGGATGGGGCGAGGGCTCGGCACAGAGCGGTTGTGCAGCGGTGGCCAGGGCTGGCTGTCAGCAGAGGGAGCCCGATGGGAGCTGAGCTCAGCAGCCGCTCCCCTTCTTCCATCCACCCTTCAGGAAGCTGTGGAGGCAGAGGCTGGGGCTGGCCCCTGAGGTGGCCGGGGCCATTCCCCACGTCCCCGGGGCTGGATGGACACAGTGGGTCCCTGTGTGCACCCTGCCCTATAGGCCTCCATGGTGGCAGGGGGCTGTGGCAGGGGGATGCAGGCAGGATGAAGCCGGGGGGACGGGGGGCTGCAGCGCTGGGATCACACCAACGGTCCCCACAGAGGCACATAGAGAGGATTTGTGCCTCCATATCAGGATGTGAGCACCATTAACTATTTCCTCCCTGGTGTAGCCGTTGCCCAGAGCCCTCCTAATGCCATCATCCTGGACCAGCTCTGGGCTGAGCATCATCCATTGTGCTCAGCCAGGTTTGGACAGCCGATGTTAAGCACCATCCGTGTCAATAGCAATATTGTTCCCAATTACACCCTCCCTGCGGCAGCTCTCAGTGCTGGAGGCAGATGCAAACTTATCTCATTTATCCCAGTGAGCAGCAATTTGGCTCCCCAGAGCTGAGCAGGACAAATGTGCTCAGCAGAGAGGGTGCTCAGACCTTCTGCTCGCTCCACAGCCCTCGTTCAGGCTCTGGGCTTGACCCGAGTGTGATGGAGCCCACAGAGCATCATTCCAGACACAGGAATTCTGCAGCAGATTGCAGCCGTGGGAGCCGGCAGGATCCCCATGGCATCACCGCCCCATGGACCCAGGTAACGTGCCTTGTGGGTGTGATGGAGCCGACCGCAGCCATGAGGCTTTCCTTCTCCCTCCATCCCTCGGGGTGGGAGCACCAGCGTGGTCCTGGGACAGTGGGGATTGCTCCAGGAAGAGCTGATGGGGCGGCACTGGGCCAGGCAGGATGCTGGCCGGGGCTAAGCTGGTAACATTATCCCGGAGCCGAAACCCGATGAAGGCCGGGCCGAGGGGTTTGGGATTGCCAGGGTCAGCTTGAGCCTTTCTCAGGGTGAAAACCCAAGGCAGGGCATTTGCGTTGTGTGAGTCAGGGAGCTCCTGCGCAGCCACGGCACCGGCTCCCCTGGGCACGATTCACCCCAGCTCTCACCCTCCTGCCCCGGCTGCTGGAGCCAAGACAGCAGGGATGCTCCCAGCTGCGATGCTGGGCTCTGCTCTTCCACCGTCACAGGCTTCCATTCGTTCATTTCATGTTTGTTTCATTCCATTCACATCCACACAAACCGGGTAAGACCCTGGCCTGAGGATGCTGATGATGGAAGGAAACCATCAGCACAGACACAGGAGGACTCGGTACCTGCAGCGTTAGCACCTGACACCCTAAACCCTTGCTCTGCAGTTTGCTGCGGTGCTCCCGAGGTTCCATTGCTCCCATTCCGCCTTCACCACCTCAAACAATGCACCATGAGCTCCGTCTTCCCTGGTGGAACCTGATGGTTGAGCTCTGGTTCCAGGGAGCCTGGTGGGAGCCTGGGGATGTGCATTGCCGAGGGCCCCTCCGCAGGGCTGGAGATAGCGGCTCCTCTGCAGCTCCCTGCCTGCAAACACATCCCCAGAGGGCAGGGGCAGGCAGCCCCATCCGCCCTGCGGCGCCGAGCACAGGGTGGGATGGAACCCTATGGAACCTGGGATCGTTATAACCAAGGCACTGGAAAGGGGCTGCAAAAGCTGGGAAGTAGCTTAAAAGGCTGCAAAGCAGACTTTGACAAATCGGGGGTTTGATGCTCCAAGGGCTGCCCTGGAGCCAGGCTCAGAGAGCTGGGCTGGGTCAGAGGAGAAGAGAAGGCTCCTGAAGGGGAGACCTGAGAGCAGCTCCAGTGCCTGAAGGGGCTGCAGGAAACCTGGAGAGGGGCTTGGGACAAGGGATGTAGGGACAGGCCAAGGGGAATGGCTTTAACCTGCCCGAGGGGAGACTGAGATGAGCTCTGGGGCAGAAGCTCTTCCCTGTGAACATGAAAAACAAGATCATGGCATCAAGCAAAGCCGTTCCTCTGCCCTCCAGTACCATGGAGCAGCAGGGATGCAACCGCATCTGGAGGATGCCAGCAAGAGGCTCTGCAGGGTACAAGTGCCGTGCCTGGATGCTCCTGGTCCCTCTCATGTGCTGGGTTTGCTGTTGTGGCTGCGCCTGGAGCAGCATCCACCGCACACCAGCCCCTCTTCACATGAGCTGCTTTATCCATCAAGGCTGCTTTATTCCACCTCAGCAGTGAGCGCACTGCAGGTGACACTGATGGGGTTTGTGTGACTTTCCCCTGCCAGGAACGCACAATTAGGCCTGGCTTAAGCACAGTCAAGAGGGAGCAGACACCGTCCATCACCCTCTGCCTCGTCCTCCACCTGTCCATGGCAAATATTGATGCTTCTCCTCCAAACCCATCCCATGGGCGCTGCTGTTGCCGTGTCCCCGCTGCAGTGAGTGTGCACGTCGGGGCCATGTGGGGCCGTGGGGCTGTGAGCAGCACATAGAGAGGATCAGGGGCTGTGGCCTGGCCCCTGTCAGCCAAGCACATGCTGAGGTCAGCAGCATCCTGTGGGGCACCAGCCAGGGGATGCTGTGCTTGGAGCAGCTTCCACCGCTCCTTGGGGTCGATGGGCATTAACAAAGCCCTGCAGAGCTGCTGAGTGCTGTGGAGAGGGTCCTGAGCACAGGGGTTGGAACTGGATGAGCTCTAAGGTCCCTTCCAACCCAAACCATTCTGTGAATGATGGCTCTATGAGATGCCCAATGGCCCTGTTAGGCAGCCTGGCATCCCGAGCTGGCTCCTGGCCTCGTGTGACCAGTACCCAGCACCCCCCTGCCTAAACCCCCTCTGAAAAAGGCGAAGCAGCTCTTTCACCTGGAATCTGGCTCCTGATCTCAAGACCAGGGGCGACAGGAGCTCCACTGAAGCCACCCTGCCTTGATGAAAGCGTCTTCTGCAGACCCTGACCTCAGAGCCATGAATAATGAGACGTTTTATTTCAGTGACTTATCTCCCATCACCCAGGTTTGAGCGTTTGGGCCTTAATGAGTTGCCCAAGGCCACATAGCAGGCAAGGGAACTGACACGATGCTCCAAAGGGACCACGTTCGCTTCTCACCCACTGCCCCCCTGCTCCCATGGCCCTGCACCACCTTGCACGAACACCGGCGTCAAGGAGGGGGAAGCTGTTGCCGAGCTCCTCCTCCCTGCAGTTCCCACATTTTTAGGTTGAAAAATTCCTCTTTTTTTTTCAAATTGGAAAACCTCCCTTTACTGGAATCCAATTGTTCGAGTGAAAAAGCCTGATTTCACCTGGCTCCTCACTCAGAATGGGCAGAAAGCCTGGGGGGGGGGGGGGGGAAGCAATGAGTGTGGGGGGAGCCAGAGCCTGGATTCCAGGCGAGCGGGGTGCTCCGCACGCACGGAGCCCGCGGGCTGGGGTGATCCCGCTGCAACCCCTGCGCGTTTGGCTGCACCCAGCCCCTGGGAGCTGCCGAGCTCCGGGAGCATCGCCGGGCCCTGCTGAGCGCACGTGTGCTCCCCGCTGCAGGCACCGAGCTCGCAGCCCCGGCGCAAACGAGATAACAGCGCTCGCCCAAGGGCGCCCGAGGCAGAGCCGGGATGCGGGACCTCAGCACGCTGCCGTGTGCGGCCCCGCGGTGCTCTGCGGGGCTGCCCCTCTGTGGGCAGCGTCTCCTCGGGGTGATGCTTGCCCTGGAGGCTCCAGAGGGAGCTCAGGGTCAGGGGGGCGGGCTCCAGCCGACAGAACCCGCTCTGCCCCTCGAGCAAGGGTGCCCGACGTGGCAAAGCCTTCACTTCGGGGATGCGCTCGCGCGCTGCACTCGTGGTGATGGGGTCCAGGGCTCTCCCATGAGGTCTCCCTCTTAAGACAAGGGCCAGCACCAGCGTGAGAGGGCTCATTCCATAGACCCATCAGGAGGAGAACCCTTCCCTTGCCTTTGGAGACGTTTCTGCAGCGCCAAAGCACGTTGTAAAGGCTGTGAGCAGGTGAGACACAGCAGTTCCCGGTGTCAGACAAGCAGGAAGCTGCAGTGCCTCTCCCCAGCTCTGAGTTCACACCATTAAATAAACCTCATGAAACATCAACGTGGGGCTGAACCACAGGGGCAGCTCTGAAGCTCCCAGCACCTTTCAGCATCCCACGGCGGAGCCTGGTGCTGTCAGTAACCCCTCCGTGTCCCTGCAGGACACCGTGTTCCTCGCTGCTGCCCTGATAAAGCTGCTGAGGCTGGTGCCAGCTCAGACCTGCAGCAAAGGGAAGTGTTAGAAGTTGGCGGCTCCCTTTCAAGTGGGACCTGGGTCCCCATCGCCTGGCACCGCTCCCTGGGAACAGCAATGACCAGCCCAGCATAAGGATCTTATGCTCCTAAGCAGAAGCTCTGCCCTGTGAGGGTGCTGAGGCGCTGGCACAGGGTGCCCAGGGCATCCTGCAGCCCTGCTCCAGCAGCGGCCACCTCGTTCCTGTGGGAGTTTGGACCCCAAATGCCTGCTTTCCTTTGTGGCTGAGGCACACAGCTGAGCTCGAAAGCTCCTGAAGGGGTGGACACGCAGGGAAGCACCAAATCCAGCCCAGAGCCCGGCTCCTGCCCATGCCCGCGGCTGCATGAGCCCTGTTTCCTTGGCAAAACCGAAAGCAGCAGCAGCAGCTCCGGCTGCAGGTCCGAGGGAAGGGGGGGGGGGAAGAAAGGAGTAGGAAGGGAGGCAGGAAGGCTCCGTGCAGGTCCCACCACCGTCAGAACCCCTCTGCCCCGGGGCAGGCGCTGCCTTTCCCCTCTGCCTCTAACCTCAGGCTTCCAAAGCAGCTTTCTCATCGTTTCCAGCAGTAAATTACCCCTGAATTATTGCCCTCATTAAGTGCAATTTATCTGCTAATATTAATCATCTGCAAATAAATCCACACATTCCAGCACTCGGTATGCGCTTATCGGAGCCCAGATAAACAGCTCAGCAGTCCCTGCGCCCAGGGCTCCGTGCTTGACTCTGAGGAGTCCCTTTGGTGTCTTCCCATCTCCCAGAACTTCCCAGCTTCCTGGGCAGCCCCAGCGCTCTCCAGGCACCATCCATGCCCTGTCAATGGCCGCATCCCAGCAGAGTGCTTTGGGCCACACGTGTGGCCGGAGCAGAAGGAGGTGGAATTGGGGTTGTATTTATAGCTACAGCAAGTGGAGTTTGACCAGGACTGCACCTCCCATTGCAAGACACTCCAAAGGACCATTGGTGTTGTACGGGGCTGGCTGTCTGCAGGGGGCAAGACCTTGCATCTCCCCGATCACACCCTCTGGGACTTTGGAATAGCAGCTCTTGCAACGGGAGCCTGTCCCCACGCAGCAGGATCTGTCCCCGTGCAGCAAGAGGGATACTAAGGTGTGAAGGACACAGAGCAGCTTGTGTAAGGCAATGCCCCAGCCCAAGCACCACTGGGTCCCTTTGGCCACGTTGGTTTTGCACCCTGGTGTAACTGCAGTTACTGCGCGTTGGCCAGGGAGCAGCGACGTCCCCTTTTGCCCTTTCTCCATCCTTTGTGGTTAGGATGGAAGCAGGGCTCTGTGGTCCTACATTGGAATGTCAGTTTGGGAAAGGGGGGGGGGGGGGGGAAGGTTCCATTGGTGGAGCTCTGCTAGGAAAAGTGCCAGCTCAAAGGTGGGCAAAGAAGTCCCTTTTAGCATTAGCTGCTGGTCCAGGCAGTTTAGCGATGCGAGCATCACCTCTGCAGCAGAGATGCTGTTTCCCTGTCCCTGCGGTGCCTTGTGAGCAGGATCCCTGGGGCTGGGACCTTTGGGTGCTGCTGCTGCTGCCAGGATTTGCCCCGTGACAGGGACCACGCTGGGCTGGCCCTGCCATGTCATGCGCTTCCGTCTCAAAGGGCTCCGTGCGTATCAGGCTGCCCTTTAAAAATCACACTTGATAGGGGTTATTAATGATATTTACAGGATAACTGCTTGGCAATGATTACCTCTGTGAGAGCGCAATGAATCAGCCCCCTTGCCTCTGCCACCCTCCGGCAGGGTGTTCCTTTGGCATGCTCTGGCACAGCGATTGATTGCCGGAACATGAGATTTCTTGGCAGTAACTGCTGATGCCTTCTACATGCACAAGGTACCAGAGATCAATTCCTTCCACAGCAAGTAGCTCCTCACACATTCCTTCTAGCGGCCTGGTCCTTCGGTGACGTCCCCTGCTGCTGTGCCTATTCCATCACATCACCTGCAACATCCTGACTGGTACCCAGTTCCTGTGCTCCTGAATCCCTCTAGGAGGAGGGGAGACCACGAGCCCTGGCACAGCTCAGCACAGTGGTGCCAGTGGAGGCTGGGGACAAGGGAATGGAGCCCACACCTTTCACATGTTAAATAGAATCATGGAATGGTTTGGGCTGGATGGACCTTAAAGCTCATCCAGTTCCACCCCCCTGCACGGGCAGGGACACCTTCCCATAGACTGAATTGTTTCCTCCTCTAGTGGAAGATGTCCCCACTAGGCCAGGAAGCGACTCTTCCCCATTCCTCTCATCCCTTTGAACCTGGAAATAAGAAAGAAACTGCTTTCCACTGCCAATCCCCTCCTCAAAGCCTGAGCTGCAGGGTCCGGCGCTGGCACAAAGCTCTCCATTGTCCATCCCGGAGACAGAGCACAAAGGCCAGGAGACGCTGCCCACCTCATCCAGGCCAACAAAAGCATCTTCTCCCACCCCGGGTCCAAAGCAGGCGAGGGAGGGGGCCGGGTGATGGTGAATATGAGCTATTGTCACCGGGAGCACAGAGCGACCTGCAAAGGGGATCAAACGGCTGAAGCCAGCGCAGGAAGGGGTGGGGTGGAGGGGGACATCCAAAAAAGCCCTTGTCCCTCTTCAGATCTCCCCTTATCTCCCCGGCTATCTCCTGGGCTTAGCCCGGGCGCACTCGCTGGCAATTACCTGCCCCAAGCCAATCAGGCGCCGAGCACAGCCCTGGGTCCCCTTCCCCGGGGTGGTTTATAAATGACTCACGGGCTGCTCGGAGCAGAGCCCTGGCGCAGCTCCTCGCCTGCACCTCTCGCCTCGTCGCGGCTCCCCTCCAGCATCGGCCCTTCCTCGGCGCAGGTAACCCCGCTCCAACAATCGTGCTCTTTGTCTGGGTGGGCGTGGGGGGTTTGCACAGCTCCGGGTGGGAGCTGCACTATTTGGAGAACTCGTACTTCTGTTCCCCCCCCCCCTTCTCTTTTTCTCCCTCCTTTCGCAAAAGGGGGTTTTCCAGCAGCAGATTTACTCAGGAATTAGCAACACCAAGGATCCAAGAGCTTGATTGATGGAGAGGGGCTGGAAGAGCCAAATGCGTGACTGCATTATTGCCAGAATAAATCCTGCCACCTTATCCTGGCTGGCTCCTGCTGCGCTCCACAAAGGGGGGGTTCCCTGGGATAGGAGAGGCAATACCGATGACAGAGCATTTGTATATATACATATATTACATCTATATTTATATATTGATGTACCACTTCACACAAGTTTTATATATTTATATAACATTTATACATATGTTTCTGGGTCCTTGTTGTCATCAGAGCTTTCTGTGCTTGGGACGATGGAAAGTGGTCCCGGTCCCGAAGATGCTGCAGTTTGCACACACAGGCACCCGGAGGCAATGGGTGAGGAGCAGTGCTTGTGAGCTGGAATCTAACCTAGGCAAAGGGTCTCAGCTCCTGGGGCATGCGTGTATGTGCGCATGCAATCAGATGAGGAAGGAGTTTTAAAGCCGGGAATGGGAAGTGCTCCCAGTCTCATTTCATGGATGTTTAGGTCCCGTTTGGGCAGTGGCCCTCATGCGCAGATAATAGAAGATATCCCCATAAGCCTGCTCCACTGGGTAAACTGCTGCTCACGCAGCGGGGATGCTTCCGCTCTGCCCTGATAAAAGTCACCCACACCTTATTTGTAAGCAAGCTGAAAAGCTGGGGACCCGTCCCAATATTTCCCTTGGAGATAAGTCCTTGCAGTGACATTTGTTGCTGGCCACACTCTTTTTCTGCCTCGAGCCAGAGATTTCCAGTACAGAAACTGTCTCATCCTTGACCGCTGGGAAAGGATGGACTGGCTGACCCCAGAGGTGTTTTTCCTTCCCAAAGGAGCATTTGCAGCAGGCATCCTGGATAAGTGCAGGAATGCTGCAGTCTGCAAACCTGGTAATTCCTTGGGATTTGCATTGCCCACCTGCTTTTCAAAGGCAGAGGGCAAGGTCTGTGTTGGAGGCATGCGGAGAGCAGGAGACTGCAATGGGTTCATCCCTACAGCCCTACACCCCAGGCTCTGTGCCCACTGCCTGGCCCCAGCCCAGCCCTCCCTCACCCTGGTTGCAGCAGCACAAGCAATGTGGAGTGAGGATGGGGTGGGGAACAAGAGGGTTAATCAAACCACACAAGGAACAGGCTCCATCACCCCTGTGTCAGTGCGGGGCAGATCCCCCATGCCCCCGGCATGTGCTGCATTGAACAGCATGCAAGGAGCTGCTGAATACAAGCATTTCACTTCACAAACACCCTGTGGCTTCACCTGCAGTAGATGGCAGATGTCCGCAGATCTCATTATGCTGGTTACCAAGTGCAGAGCTAGTTTGGTTAGAAACTCGTGTGAAGTGGTACATCAAACATTGGCACCGGCCCAGCGACGGCAGAACAAGAGTCCGGCTCCTGCCCGGTGCCTGCACTGGGCTGGGTCAATTGGAATCAGCAAAGAGGCATCTGCCCGATGGAAATCACCTACTGAACACGCCAAATATTTGATCTAAGCAAAGGAAGAGCACACTGATTTAATGCCGGGCTGCCCCGTGGCAAGGGGGCAGGAGTGGAGGAACTCGGCTGCTCCCAAAGGGGGATGTTAACAGCGGGGCTGCAGCACGGGACGGAAAGGTGGGAGCTGGAGGGAAGCAGGGATGTCTCCTCCCTGCCCTGCACCCGTGGTGTGCGGATCCCTCCGTGCCTCCCCACGTCAGGCAGGGCCAGTTAACACCTCCCAGCACCCCTCTCCCTCCTTCTCCATGTCCCCCTCCGTCTGGAGTTCATTCCATCAGCCGTCATGCCGGGTCCTTGCGTGCTGCTGGGGGTAAAATGGCTTGAAACAGCTTCGCTTTATGAACTGTATGGGCTCTGGCGTTTTGCCTTGTCTGAGGCTAAAAGCCCTCCTTGGGATAGGATGTTTTCCATAACTGATCTATCTGCTCGCCCAGCATCAGCCTCTGCTAAACCCCAGCTCCAAATGTGAGCAATCAATGTGTGGCACCGCGTGTGCCGGCTGCTCAGCTCCCTGGAACAGCCACCGCTGCCCTGCCGCTGCCTCCTCCCCTTCCCCACGTCACCAGGAAAGGTGATTTTACCAACATGCTTGTGCCAGAAACGTGGGATCCAGATCAAACGAGGATGATCGGGGCTGGAGCACCTCCCATGTGGAGACAGGCTGAGGAAGTTGGGGCTGTTCAGCCTGGAGAAGAGAAGGCTGTGTGGAGACCTCAGAGCAGCTTCCAGTGTCTGAAGGGGGCCTATAGGGATGCTGGGGAGGGACTCTTCATTAGGGACTGTAGTGACAGGACAAGGGGTAATGGGTTAAAACTCAAACAGGGGAAGTTTAGATTGGATATAAGAAGGAAATTCTTTCCTGTTAGGGTGGTGAGGCACTGGAATGGGTTGCCCAGGGAGGTTGTGAATGCTCCATCCCTGGCAGTGTTCAAGACCAGGTTGGACGAGGCCTTGGGTGAGATGGTTTAGTGTGAGGTGTCCCTGCCCATGGCAGGGGGGTTGGAACTGGATGATCTTAAGGTCCTTTCCAACCCTAACTATTCTATGATTCTATGATTCTATCTGGCTTTCCCCCTGCAAGGTGCTGTCTTCCTGAATCAGTTCAGCTGCAGATGAACCCTATTCAGAGCCAAAGGGAAAATGAAACTCAACTGGATTAGAGTGATCTTAGCGGTGAGGAAAGAGGTGTGGGCAGTGGCTGAAGACACTAACCCCTAGGAACATGCTGGGGGTCCCTTGGTGACAAGCTCCCAGTGTGGACCATCACCCACACTGCCTGGTCCCTAATGCCAGGAGGTCGGAAAGAGGGAACAACCTGGGAGCATCCAATAGAGGTGAATTACACAACACCCTCCTGCAACCCCTGAACTGACTGACAGCAAAACCTCCTCTTCCTCCTGCCTGTGTGCTCCGCGCGCCCAGCTCCATAGCAGAGGTGTGAAAGGGGCAGAGCCCAGCAGTGCAGCCGCCCTGTCCCGTGCCCCAGTGGGAAGCACAGCGCAGGTTCCAGGGCAGGAGGTGACAGGTTCCTCGCTGACCTTGCAGCACTTGGGCCCTTTCACCGCCTTGCCCCAGGGCTTCCATGGCACCTGCAGCCAGAGCCGGGCGCGGGAGGCTGGGAATCGCCGTGGATTCAGTGCTGAGGGCACTGATTGCGGGGAGCAGGAGTCAAGACCTTGTCCTGGTGTCGCAACCGAACCCTTGCACCTGCGCTTGCCTTGTGCAGGCAGACCTTGCCTCCTGGGGTAGGGGGGAGCTGCCTTTTACAACCGGTTCTTGGGCAACTGTGCTGGGAAAGAGGTGTTTTCGGTGAGGATTCCGCCAGGATGTGGAAGGGAGCAGACCTCCGCCAGCTGAGCAGCCGTCAGCAAGAGCTCTGTGTGCAGCGCCTTGTGCAAGGAGAAGGGGGATGGAGAAGGGGCAGACAAAGGAGGAAATGTTATTTCCAGAGCACTGGTTTTTGCTCCCTAAACCGTAGCAGAGGCATGCCCTGAATGTCCAGCTCTTGCACTGGGGTCAATCCGGGCTCTTGTATCACAAGTAAGGCAGTGAACAGATTGCTTTCCCACTCACGCTCCTCGGTCTGGGGTCCCTTTTGCATGCCTATGCCAGCGAAGGCAAGCGGCTTTATGCCAGTGGCTCCTATCAGCGCTAGCCAGAAACCTCAATGTGACTTTCCTCTTCCCAAACACAGCTATCACCAGCGCAGGGATGGAAGATAAGAGCCCAGTGAGCGCATGCGCAAGATGAACACTGGAAAAAGGTCCATGCTTGGCATGCACAGCCTGCTTTGAGGCTGCTGGGGCAGGGGTCAGCCGGGTAGGAGCCGATGGGTCTCTTAGCTGATGCCCTACTGGGACAATATCTTTCACCCACGTCATGCCCTCGGAGCTCAGCAGTTCTGCCTTCGTTCACTGCCTGCCCCAGTTTCTCAGTGCATTTATCAGTGGGGCCAAACTTCACACTCCTCAGCATCCCCCACTGGGGAACGGGCTGCCTGGAAAGCTTGGAAGAGGAGCTCTCACTTGGAGCTCTTCCCCCAGAACTTGTCCTTTCATTGCCACACCATTCTGGAACTGAGCTGTGAACACCCTGGGCCCTGGCTCTCTGCTTCTCCCTCCATGCCCATCGCATCGCTCCAGCATCCTGCCCCGGCCCGGCAGCCCTGCTCTTATCCCACCACCACCAGCACAGCTGGGTTTGCCTTTTGTGCAAGGAGCAGTCCCCCAGCTCGTTCCCTTTAATTCTGAAACCTCAGAGGTTTAACCTGCTGTTTGATGTAGGGCAAGGCCAGCGATAAGCCAAGGCAAGAACCCGACTGTGTCCGAGACGCTGACATCATTAGCCTGTTTGTTTAAGATGGAATTTAATCATGGGGATATTTTCCCCTTGATACTTGCCTTGTTTATTATTTTCCCTGATTGCCAGCACTTTCGCTCAGCAGGGGAAATTCATTAAGGAGCTGGGATAGAATTGGCTGCTCCAGGCTGGCTGGTGGCAGGCAAGCGATGGAGCCCAGAAAGAAACCAAGAGGGGCTTCTTGCCCCGGAACCTGGGGGGGTTCTCACCCTTCAGATGCCTGCTGCTGAACCTGGACCTGGGCTACACAGTGGAAACTGGCAACGGAGAGCAGAGCTGTGGGGCTGGGAGCTGGGAAAGGCTGGGAACCTGCCCAGCAACGGGAGTGGGAGGTAGAGACAAGGCTCCTGCAGCCTGACGTGGGAAAAGCAGGGAATGAGTGGTTATCAGATGGGCTCCCGGTATGAGCGTCGGGACTGGGAAAGAGCCTGGGACACTGCTCAGTGTTGCCCTGCACCAATCAACCCTCTGAGAGGTAACGCTTGGAATTGCTCTTGGAAGGGTATCTCCAGCTGAAAGGGAGCCGCAGGGACGCCAGTGCCTGCAGAGGGCACTGGATTCAGCACCTGGTAACGCAGGAAGAGGGACACGGGATCATAGCATGGACTGGGTTGGACACGTCTCCTCTTTGCCTTAGCTGCCCTCCAAGGACATAGGCTGGGGTCTCTCCCAGAGCCTGGAATCAGAAACACAGCATTGCTGGAGCTGCTCTACAGCAAAGGCACCGGATTGCCCCCAGGATCACTGCAGGAGTGGGGTCCATGACCTCCCTTTCGGAACCCATTAGCTCCTATTTGCATAATGATCCCATTGACCTAAATTCTCCCAAGTTTCAGCTGCCTGCATCATCCTTCCCTTCCTGCCCTGGACTGCTGGGCCACTGCTCCCTGTTACTCATGTCTTCCAGCCCCTAGTCCGAGGTAACTGCTTATCAGCGAGGGCTGACACTGGTCCTGTGGATGGGCATTTTGCCAGGGCACTCAGTGCCTTCACCGCCTTCAGCAGTGCCAACAGAGGGGAGAAGAGGATCTCCCGCATTCAAATCACTCTGCGAGCTCTCCGCAACGGGGATGTTGTTTCTTGGTGCATTCTCCTGCCTGAATCACCAGCTTTTTCCACCCCCTCTTCCACTCCTGTGTTGGGCAATGACCCACTTAGATACAAGCATTACCACAAATAATTACCAAGATCCCTGGTTTATACCTGACCACTTCCTTCCTCCACTCCCAGCCTCTCCAGACTGATTCTCCCCACTTCCAGGGAATCGCTGGTCATAGTAAAATGAGGGTTCTGTGGAATTTATCCTCTTTGGTAAGAGCCAGCCACCAGGCAGGACTAGCGCATCCAGATAGCTGGGCATCTTCATCACTGAAATGGAATAGCAACGGTTATCCTCGCGCACATCACTTCCTAGCCTTGTCTCATGGCAAGTGAGGAACGGGACGGCTGCTGGATGCAAACGAGCCCCTTTGGCAGTGGAAATGAGCCCTCGGGTGGAAACTGCCTTTAGTCAGTGTCTACTTTGCCTTGCAAAGCCCGGCCAACCCTGCTGGCAGGTGGGGAAACTGAGGCACGGGAAAGGTCAAGTGATCTGCCCGAGGCAAAAAGGCAGTGACTGAGATTGCAGAGCTGAGATTGGCACCCCTGCTCCCGTGCCACACAATCCGGGGCGCTGCGGTCCCCTTCCCGCTCATTAGCATCACCTCCACGGGGCCGGGGGAGAATCCCAGTGCCGGGAGCAGCAGCCCCTGGTGCCGGGAGAAGCCACTCCCAGGACCTGCCCCTGCGCCACAGGGAAACTATTTAGGGTGGAGATGTGTGGGGAGGGCTCGCAGGCGCTGGAGGTGTCCGGTCTGTTATAGCGCAGGTGGGGCCGGCTCCGCTCACATTCCTGCCTTTGCTTTTCCCTCTTGTTCCGTGCCGGGAGCAGAATCCAATGATCCAGAGATGAACCAGGCCAGGCCTCGCTACGTCATCGAGCGTCCTGCCTATTCCCTCAGCCTCTTCGACGAGGAGTTTGAGAAGAAAAGCAGAACTTACCCTGTTGGGGACAAACTGAGGAACCTCTTCAGGTAACAGCAGGGGCTGAGCAGAGACCAGGCTCGGTCTGGAGCTGGGCTGCGATTCACACCTGGGGATGCAGTCTCCATTTCTAGCCTGGGAAACCTCCGTGATGTTCAGGGCTTGGGTGGATGAAAGGCACAGGAGAAATGCAAATCGTATTGAAGCAAGTGGAGCTGGTTACTCACTGCTGGCAGGAAGGGTTTGCACGGAGTGCAGTTGGGATGCGGGGGTCTTTTCCAAGAGCTGTTCAATAGGGATGTCAGGATGAGGGGGTGGGTTACTTCTTTCAGCTTTCCAGCTGGGATATCCTTGTATCAGCTGCCTCATTAAAACCAGCACTGCCCTTCCTTAAAGGAAGATTAATAATTGTGCAAATAAAGATGAATAAGCTGGCTGAGCACCGTCTTGGAAATCTAGCCCCATTGCTTGGAAGAAGGGAGGCAGTAGCACAGGGAAGCAAGACCATACACGTCAGCTGGCAGAGACAGTGCATGTGCCAACCCAGAAGCAGTCTGGGCTTAGGATTTGGTGTGGGAGAAAGACTGAGACATTCCTAGGACAACCCTTCCTCGCTCCCTTGCTTCCTCCCTTACGTGCTTGTTTTTCCCGTCTCCTCCAGATGTTCAGCGTCCAGACTCAAGCTCATCCTCTTCAGCCTCTTCCCGATCCTCGTGTGGCTTCCCAAGTACAAAATCAAGGAGTACATTTTGCCTGATGTTCTCGGGGGCGTCAGCGCGGGGACGATCCAGGTGCCGCAAGGTGAGATGCGATGAGCCGGGGTCACTGAGGGGGGACGGCACTTTGCCAGCTCAAGGAGAAGCCTGCACAAGTCCACTTTGGGGGGGATTAGCTGCCAGAAGCTCTGCCTCTGACCTGATTGTCCCTGTCTTCCTCTGTGGTGCCCTTCCCTGCCCTCTTCCGCCCAGAAGGCAGCAGGCACAGCACCTTCTTGGAGCTGGCATGAGTGTGAGCACGGCAAGGGGCTGACACCACCCTCACAGACCCATTTCCCTTGTGCTTTCCAGGGATGGCCTTTGCACTACTGGCCAATCTGCCTCCTGTCAATGGGCTCTACTCCTCCTTCTTCCCATTGGTAACATACCTCTTCCTTGGGGGTATCCATCAGATGGTCCCAGGTAAGAGTCTGCGCAGCAGCCGCCTGCACAAGGCAGTTAAATACTACTCACTGTGTTCCAGAATAGAGGTGTTTGGGCACGTTTGGTCTGCCAGGGGTTTATGGGATCCCATATTCTGGCTGCACAGCAGGATCTCACCCCAGTGACCAACAGCCGCATCCTGCCATGGGGCTGGTTCGGTGATGGGCTGGGTGACTCGGTCCGAGCACCTTCCAGGACAGGATGCTCTCTAGAGAAAGCCACTGACATCACTGTGTTGTGCTGCAGGTACGTTTGCAGTCATCAGCATTATTGTTGGCAACGTCTGCAATGAGCTGGCTCCGGAGTCGGACTTCCAGTACTTCAACCACACCACTAATGAGACCAGCGTGAACACCACAGCCCTGGAGGCGGCCAGGCTGGAGATCTCGGCCACCCTGGCCTGCCTCACCGCCGTCATCCAAGTAAGCGCTTGTATGGCTCCCACACGGAGCCAGCCACGTATTGCTGGTGGCAGGAGGTGGGCGATGCCTCGGAGCCGGGGGTTTGGGGGATCCCAGTTTTGGTGTGAAGCCCTCCCGGAGCGGAGCAGGTTCCCACCACAGCTCCCGAGGCTCCACGCTCCTGACACCCCCCCATCTGTCCTGCCCTAGCTGTGCCTGGGATTCGTGCAGTTCGGCTTTGTTGCCATCTACCTCTCCGAGTCTTTCATCAGGGGCTTCATGACAGCAGCAGGGCTGCAGATCCTCATCTCCGTGCTCAAGTACGTCTTCGGCTTGACAGTCCCATCTTACACCGGGCCCTTAGCTATCGTCTATGTAAGTGGGTGCCTTCCCTGCACCTCCTTCCCCAGTGACCACCCCACCGCAGGCACCCGGGCAAGGGGGGCTTGGGGAGAAGGAAAGGGTGGAGGGAGGGGGAATACGGATGTCCCATGCTGCTGCCACTGTATTTCCTTACAGTGTTATCTGTGCATTAGTTTCCAATTAGAACTACTGAAAGGGGCCTGGGATTTGGGGAGAACATGAACTGTGTTTTACAGCAGGAGACTTGCACAATTGTGATCAACAGAAACCTTTCCTATGAGCAGGATTCCCCATTCTTGGGCTTTCCTGCATCTCCCATGGATGCATCCTCCACTGATGCAGCCAAAACTGCATTTAAGTGGGGAGCACAGCCCCAGGGCTGGTTGCTGATCCCAGCAGCAGGGTTTCTAGCACTTCCCTCACCCTCGTCACATCTCGGGGTGTTTGCAGTTGATTGTGGTAACAAATGATCTCCATTCTGCTGTCCACACTGTCCAGAGTCTCTGGTTCCCTTTGACACCTTCTCCTCTTCTCTCCCCTTTAGACTTTCATTGACATTTGTAAAGGTCTGCCCCAAACCAACGTGGCCTCCCTGGCCTATGCCTTGGTCAGTGCTGTGCTCCTGATCATTGTCAAGGAGCTCAACCTGAAGTACATGAAGAAGATCCGGATGCCCATCCCCATGGAGATCATCATTGTAAGTGACACGTGAGCTGTTCCTTAGGTCCTGCAGGAGCCAGTCCCTCCCCTTACCTGACAGCAGAGAATCAATAGAGTGACTATGATGTGGGCCCCACATGTCTTGGGCCATCCTCGTGGAGGATACCTCTGGTGCCCACCTCATCCCTGTTAGGCTGTACCTGCATCCTGGTGATGCTGAGGATGAGGAACATAACTCCTCATGGAGAAGTTCTCTCCTTTCCTAGCCCAAATCTGGGGCTAATTTTGCACTGTCAGCCTCAGGAGTAAAGCAAGCTTAGTGCTCCTGAGAGAGCTCATGCTCCTTCTGCTCACTGCTCTGTTATTCTCTGTCCTTCCAGGTAATAGTTGCCACTGCCATCTCCGGCAGCTTTAACATGCCTGAGAAGTACGGCATGCCAGTCGTTGGGAAGATCAGCATGGGGTAAGCGCATGTGCGGGTCCGACTCAACTTCCAGCTCATTTTCCTTCCTCCTCCTCCTCCTGCAGCCTTCCCTGCCGTACGACAGCCCCCGTCCAGGACTGCCCAGTAGCACCGCTGCACCTCCTTACGCAGCCGCCTCCATCCCTCCCAGCCACCCGTGGGCTGTGGCATTCCCAGCCACCCACCCCGCTCCTGTCACAACTGCTTCCCTCCTCCGCTCCGAGCGCAGGTTCCCAGCACCAACGCTGCCCCTGGTGCACAAGTGGAAGGACATGATCGGCACGGCCTTCTCCCTCGCCATCGTGAGCTACGTGATCAACCTGGCCATGGGGAGGACGCTGGCAGCCAAGCACGGCTACGACGTGGACCCCAACCAGGTAACGCTCGGCCTGGAAGGACGCAGCCAAGGAGCTCTCAGGCGTGAAGGGAAAACCTCACCGCATGAATGGGAGGCTTTCAAACGCGCCCTGCTCCTGCAGCCGTGCTGCTCCCGTGCATGCGGGCTCCCGTGGCAGCTTGCCATGGAGGGGGGAAAGGACAGGGCAGATCCACCTCGTGTGCACGGGAGAGCCTGCAAAGGGAAGGGAGCCTCAGGCTGAGCTCTGCGCCTTGCTGAGGCTCCAGCCCGCAGTGCTGGCAGAGCTGTGTGTTTGCTGCTGTTGGAGCACAACGAGCACGTGTGTTTCTCACCGAGCACAGACCTGGATTCCTGGTGTGTCACCCAGATACCGCGGGAGGCAGGACATTAAATAATCCTCTTTTGTCATCCCTGGCACAGCGGCAGCTTTCAATAGCAGCCACACATACCGCATGGAGCCCTGCCCTGAGTGCGTCAACAGATGACAACGTGTTGATGCGGAATCGGGCTGCCAGGTCTCCCTGCTATAGCAGAGCCCACCTGCTCTCATTGCAGGGAAGGGGTCTGGGACACTCAGGCAGCAGCTCTCCTGCCCGGCAGCTCACGCCCTCTGTGCCATCGCTCCCCTCTGATGGCCGTGTCCCTGTCTCCATAGGAAATGCTGGCCCTGGGCTGCAGCAACTTCTTCGGATCCTTCTTCAAAATCCACGTCATCTGCTGCGCTCTCTCGGTCACTCTCGCCGTCGATGGGGCAGGAGGGAAATCACAAGTGAGCACCTTCTCCTCTTCCTCTCTTCCTCACCTGGCCCACAGAGCAGCTGCGTGCTGCCGGAGTGCTCCAGGCTGCTGGGGTTAAAGCAGAGCTCCCTCCCTCCCAGCCCCATTTCATTCCCGGGATGATTCTCTGGATCGGTCACTGATGCAGGGCTGTAAATCCCAGCCTGGATTCCCTGGCGGAGCAGCCCGAGGGAGGGCTGGGGTTATCTGGGGGATCTGCAGAATCCTCACCTCTGTCTTACTGCAGAGGGCAGTTATGCCACGGGCTGGAGCAGCAGGAGACAGAAGCCCGGGGGGGGTTAGGAAGGCCCTGGCGTCTCTGTATGCGATTTCTTTCCTCCTTTGCTGCAGGTGGCAAGCTTCTTTGTGGCCATGGTGGTGATGGTGACCATGCTGGCGCTGGGCATCTACCTCGAGCCCCTTCCAAAGGTAACAAACATCTGTACAAACAGCGTGGCCGCTGCGTCACGCGCTCCACGCACCCAAGGGAGGGCAGAGGCTTGCTCCAAACCCCCCGATGCAAACTGCTGCCGGCACCGGGGGCTCCTGCCTGATTGCACTGAGGCTCTGCAGGAGAGAGCAGTCTGAATGATCCCACCCAGAGCCCAGCGGGATCTTTGTGTCACCCTTGCCCATCCAGAGAGAGGGCTGGAGCAGCTCTGCCCTGGAGCCAGGCTGAGAAAGCTGGGCTGGGGCAGCCTGGAGAAGAGAAGGCTCCTGAAGGGGAGACCTGAGAGCAGCTCCAGTGCCTGAAGGGGCTGCAGGAAACCTGGAGAGGGGCTTGGGACAAGGGATGTAGGGACAGGCCAAGGGGAATGGCTTGAACCTGCCAGAGGGGAGACTGAGATGAGCTCTTAGGCAGAAGCTCTTCCCTGTGAGGGTGCTGAGGCGCTGGCACAGGGTGCCCAGAGAAGCTGTGGCTGCCCCATCCCTGGCAGTGCTCAAGGCCAGGTTGGATGCAGCCTGGAGCAGCGTCCACCTCCGGGCTGATCCAACCCCATCTCCTCCTCAGTCTGTCCTGGGAGCCCTCATCGCAGTGAACCTGAAGAACTCCCTCAAGCAGCTGGCGGATCCCTTCTACCTGTGGAAGAAGAGCAGGCTGGACTGCGTGAGTGCTGGGCACGGCAGGCAGCGCAGCCACGGCCACGCAGGGCAGAGGCTTCGGGGGGCAGGAGGATGCTCTCAGCCCCCTTGATCTCTTGGTGGGATCTTGGCTTCCAGCCCTTTAGCACCAAGGTCGGGAGCAGCAGCAGAGCCCAGCTGAGCACTCTCACGCTCAGCGCACGGCTCCCAGAGGCCTGAACTATTCCCTGCTCTGGGTAAATGCCAATCAAGCTCGGGAGCCTGTTTGCCCAGAACTAGCCAAACCGGCCCTGCTCGGTGCCGAGTCAGGACCGCAGGAGTCACACAATAGCCCTGCAGGGTGAGGAGAGCCCTTCGCAGTGATAAGGACCCGAGGCAGGGGTTGATGGATAAACCCAGGCAGGGGGTGAGGGGAGCGAGAGCGCGGTTTGGAAGCGTCTGACATAAGCCAGCAGTGTCTGAAGGGCTCCCACGGAGCCAGCATCCCGTCAGCGCCTGGCACACGGCCTGTGGGGGAAACGAGGAGTCCAAAGGGGCTGGGCTGAGTGGAGAGCTGCCCCAAAGCAGTGTTCGGACAGGGCTGGAGATGGGTGAGCAGAGCAGGCAGAGGGCTCACGGGGGGGATCAGGAGGGAAAGGCACCCTCCATCCACACATGGAATCATGGAATGGTTTGGGTTGGAACGGACATTAAGATCATAGAATCATAGAATAGTTAGAGTTGGAAAGGACATCAAGATCATCCAGTTCCAACCTCGGTCACAGGCAGGGATGCCTCACTCCAGACCATGTCACCCAAGGCTCTGTCCAACCTGGTCTTGAACACTGCCAGGGATGGGGCATTCACCACTTCTCTGGGCACCCTGTGCCAGTGCCTCAGCACCCTCACAGGGAAGAGCTTCTTCCTTATATTCAACCTGAACTTCCCCTGCTTCAGCACTAAGTGCAGGGATCCCTCATAGCCCAGAGTGAAGTCTGGATGGAGGGAAGCCCTTCTTGTCATTTATATGTACAACACATATGAATGAAGATGCTGAAATCAAAATTACCCTGATTTTTCCCAGGTCAAAGTTAGGTTTATCAGGGTTGAGGATGGGATTATAATAACCTGATGGTGATTTTCAGAGGCCATGGTTATATGGATATGGTTATATGAACTGGGTGATCCTGAGGTCCTTTCCAACCCAAAGCATTCCATGGTTCTATGAATTCAGGTCCTGGTGTTTTCACCCCGAGCTGTGTAGTTCCTGGGGTGCAGGCTATCAGCACAGAGCCGTTCTCCATCCCTCACCGTGCCCATGGTAGAGGAAGAGGTTGTGCCATGCTCTTCTCTCCCTGCAGCTGGTCTGGCTGGTGAGCTTCCTGTCCGCCTTCTTCCTGAGCCTTCCCTACGGAGTCGCTGTGGGCGTGGGATTCTCGGTGCTGGTCGTGGTTTTCCATACCCAGTTGTAAGTCCCGGGAGCAGCCCCAAAGAGCAAAAGAGAAGGAAAACCTCACGACAGATTCCTTTTACGAGTGACCTCTGGCCCGTGCGGGGCAGGGACGTGCAGCAGGAGCCCGGGGGAGTGCAGGTGTCCTCCTGGAATGTGCAAACAGGAATGGCAGGCGCTAATTTACTGCCGGCCCTGTGCACATCCCAAGGCAGGGGAAGGCTGAAGGAATTCACTCCAGCTGCCTGCATAGTTCCCAGCAGAAAGTCCTGCTCGGAAGAGGAACGCGCCCCGTGGATGTGTGTGAAGGTTTCACACCGGGTTTAATCCCTTAAAGCCCTTTATTGACATTTCCCAGCCTGGGATCTCAAACTGCTGACTCTTTGGGGTTTTTACCCTATAGGCTCTGCAGGGATGAAATGGAAGTGTTTTCATTAAGCCAGTTTTCATCCCTTGCTATGGAACATGGAGTGAAGCAGTTTGCTTCCCCTCCACCACTTACTCTAACGCTGATTGCCCCTTCTCTCCCAGCCGAAACGGCTCTGCCCTGGGCCAGATCACTTCCACTGACATCTACAAGAACCCGAAAGCCTACAACAAGGTAAGCAGAACCCCAGAATGGTTTGGGTTGGAAGGGACCTTAACATGACCCAGTTCCAACCCCTGCCACGGGCACTTGAGCATCCATTCTTTGCCACAATGTGGTGAGGACACTCGAGCCCATGAGGTTGGCTGCCGACTGGTTTCAGGGGCAGCAGGAGAGCTGCTGCTCAGTTACCTGCTGCCCCAAGCCCCCATCACCCTGCAGCACCCCAACAGGCCTGGGCTGAGCTCTTGTCTCTGTTGCAGGTGCATGAACTTAATGGCATTAAAATCGTGACCTACTGCTCCCCACTGTATTTTGCCAACTCGGAGATCTTCCGGGAGAAGATCATAGCCAAGGTGAGCGCTGCCCTAATGCCCTTCTGCTTGCAGCCAGCCCCAAACAGCCCTTGCTGTTGCCCCTGGCTATGGGGCTGAACAGACTCTGCCAAAGCAAAGCCTCTTTCCCACAGACAGGGGTGGATCCTGGCAAAGTGTACTTGGCCAGGAAGAAGTACGTGAAGCGGCAGGAGAAGGGCACGGCACAACCACCACCAAACCTACCCAAACTCCTGCTGAGGCAGAACAAGGTAGCTCGGTCTGGGTTCCTGTGTTGAGGAATAAGACCCCAAGTCCCCATCAAACAGCTCCTCTTGACACAGGATTTTCTGCGCTGTCTTCCTGACCACACTTTGCTTCCTTTCCTTCCTGCCTACATCTCCATTCCTCCCAACAGCCTAAACCTTAAGATGCAGCAGAACTGGAAGTGGCTGGGATTAAGAAAGCTCTAGAGATGGAAACGGGGTGAATGATCTGCTAGGAACGGGGCTTGCCCTCTTTCTTTAAAGATGCCCTTTGTCAGCGTTTCAGGTTAGAAGTGCCCTTCTGAAGCACATTTCCCAGCTTCACTGGAGCAGCCTTGAAGCATGTGAACAGGAATAACTTGAAATTAACTCAGTGTACTCCAGCCCCAAGGGACACTCAGCCCAGCACCAGGCTGGAGCTAGTCCAGATTAAACCACTTCCTGCCACCGGCTACTTGAGGTGCGTTCACACGTCAGGATCTGGGCTCGCCCTGCCCTCACTGCGCGTTTCTGCTTTGCTGCAGACCCTGTCTTTGCAAGAGCTCCAGAAGGACTTCGAAAGCAGCTCTCCAACAGACACCAACAACAACCAGACGACCGCTAACGGGGCCAGCATCTCCTACGTGACGTTCCAGCCCCCTGGCACCAGCGCTGCCGGCTCCAGTGAGCTGGGCAGCACTAATGCTGTACAAGGAAGCACCTTCCTGCCTGCAGCAGAGCTCGACCCTGTGATGACAGCACCGCCCTACCTCAGCTTCCACACCATCATCCTGGACATGAGCGGAGTGTGCTTTGTCGACCTCATGGGCACAAAGGCGCTGGGCAAGGTCAGTTCTGTTCTCCAAACACAGGCAGGCAACGGGCACCTTCTGGGGCAGCTGGGATAAGTGTTTACCCTCCTCTCCATCAGCATTCCCAGGACACGCGGAAGGGCCTGGATAAAAGACTTCTGAAGCAGAAGTATCATTAATTCGCTCTCTCCCTTCTCATCCCTTCTAGCTGTGTTCCAGCTACCAGAAGATTGGGATTAAAGTGTTCTTGGCAAACGTGCAGGGTAAGAATCCGCACAGAACCTATTTCCATGTGATCTCCCCCCATTCGTGTGCCCCTGGCAGGCAGATCTTTTCGTGCTCCTTATGCAAACTGTGTGAGCTGTCAGCCTTTTGATGGACCCAACTAGCCCAGATGAAAGAAGAGAACAGAAGAAAGGGAAGAGAACCCCTGTTCTGTGTCTGAAGTAGCTCCTTTCACTTGGGAAGGGATACAACTGGAACTTCTCCATGTTTAGCACGTAGGAAAACAGATCCCTGCACTAATTCCTGCAGCAGACCTGTTTCTTCTCCATGCACCCCAGCCCTGCTTTAGCTCAGAGGACCACTGTCAGCCTTTGGAGGCTTCCTTCTTTGGTTTCCTTCTTGCTCATGGGTCTTTCCTTCCTTCAGCCCAGGTTTACAATGACATTAGCACAGGAGGCGTCTTTGAGGAAGGGGGCCTGGACCGAAGTCACCTCTTCCTAACAATCCATGATGCTGTCCTCTTTGCACTGGCAGATATCAAGGAAGTTGTCCACCCGCCCAGCTTAGAAGAGGTAAATTTGCTCCCCAGGATTTCTGCAGCTCACAGGACTCTACTGTGAGGTTTACTCACTGCACAGAGGCAGAATAACCCAATACTGCACCCTTCTTCCCTATCTCAAGTGGTAAAGGTCTAAATCCTACAAAACATTTTATCTCCTAATTCTGACGTATGGGCTGGCACCTATGGATTGCATTGATTCAATCCCTATCCAGATGAATGTTGTCCTAGCCCGGAGAAGCCAGAAGAGCTGTTCCAACACTATGCTCCCATTTGGTGGTGTCTGGGATATGCAGCTGCATACAAAAGCAGAATTTGACCCCCAGACATGAAGGCAAAGCACATTCACCAGTGCTGGAATAGCCCCAGCATCCCTGCGTGCTCCCCTTGGTGGGAGGAGGAAAGGCTGAGGCAGGGATGTGGCACATACTCACAACACAAGCTACTTCCCCAAATGCAGGCTGGTTTATTGCATGGTAACTGGAGCTGGAAGCAGGGCAGTGTCAGTCAGTTATCCCCTGAGAACAAGGGAAGGTATCTCCTATCTCAGCAGAGAGATATCTACGTGCCAGCTCAGTCAGAGGAGATAAACCCCTGCAACGGGATTCCTTCTGTGCCTCTTCTTCCTGGGCACTTCCCTGGGAGCACGTGGGATGTTTTAAGCCTTTTTCATTCCTTTCACACACCCCCCCGCTAATTCATGGATTTGATTCTCTCCGGCACAGAGGCCAGACCAGACAGAGCTCTCCATCTATGATGAGTCTGCGGATGAAGGCAGCACAGAGTTCAAGAACCTGGAGGAGGTGAGCTCCAGGGTCAGGGTCACGCGTTCAGCTGTGGACATAAGGTGGCAATCAGAAGCTGTGGTCGGGAGTGATGGGGTGGGCAGTCCCCTGTGCCAGGCAAACTGCTAGACACAGAAATGCTTTGAATAGCTGAACACTGATTTAAAACCCCTGTCATGAGCTCTGGCAGGCACCTGGATGAGGAGCAGCCCTGGTTCCCCACAGGGCAATCCTTCAATCCAGTCTGGGTCACACAGTCAGACCTGTGGTCTCCACGCACAGGGGTGAACTTGGAGAACCAGGTTTAGCTCAAGCCCAACAGTCCCTGGACAAGTTTTCCAGCAGGCTTTGTTAACGCTGAAGTTATCTGCACCCACTGAACCCCGGTCCGTGGGAGGAGACACATTCCAGTGCTGACCTTCCCCATGCTATCCATGCACGGCTGGAAGCACAGTGACCTCCCTGCCTCCGGCTTTCCCTTGCGGAGCAGGGCTGGGAAGGGCTGGAGTTCCTGCCCTCATTCCCCTGTGTGACCAAATGACTTCTGAGCTGTGCTGCTGGGTGTGTGCCACGCATCAGCCCTAACCCAGCGTGTCTTGTGTGCCCTTCAGGAGATGTTTGGCAGCATGTTCCACTCAGAGACCCAGACAGCTCTGTGAGCACACAGGGAGCCTCAGCACAAGGCAAACCCTCCCAAAGAGCCTCCTCTCTCCCATCCCCTCGTGAAGAGCTGCACTTCTGCCTGGGGGATACAACAAGTTTGCAAAGCAAGAGGCCATCACCCCTCTTGAACTGGTACATTCCTCCCTCCATCCTGCTCTACTTCTGGTCTTGAGGGCAGCGTACAGAAACACTGGAACCAGGAACTCAGGAAACGCCACCCCATGAACTACAGAAGTGCAGTGAGCTCGTTCCAAGGCAGGTGCCTTAACACAGAGGACAATTACTCGCTATTGCCAAGAGACCCAGCAGTCAAACTGAGATCTGAGTGCATTTTATGCCTGCAACTGGGGGGCAGCCCGAGTGAGGCCAGGACCATCCCAGGCAAAGGAGCCTGCCTCCCTAACACAGAGCCAGGCAGCTGGGAGCTTCATCATCCCCAAGTCTGACGTTCTCTTCCATTGGAGTGATGCTAATAACAACTGCTATTCTAGTTTCCTTTCCTGATGCCTTCCCTTCTTACCCAGTGCTGATGTGGTGACAATAATGACAAGATGACAATATAAAGCCTGGAAAATCAAAGCATAAGCCAAGGCTTAAAGCACCCCTTTCTTCAGTGCATTTCAACCGCCAGTATGGCTTTTATGGCAATAAGATTAGAAAAGATTTAAGATAAAGACACATTGGAATGAAAACCATTTCCCTTATTTGAATTGCGAATCTTCCTACAGAGTATTGCCAGCACTGGGGTAAAATGCAAGAGTCAACAAGTGAACAGTAATGGAAGCAAAAGTGGACAGTTTGTGATCTTCACATGAATGCAAAAAATAATGGCCTTAATAATGAAAGCAAATTATAATTTAAGAAGCTATTTTATTTCTCTATTAAAAATATCAGCAAGCTTTAATGCACAGGTTTGAGCTACCTATCCATTATTGAGCTGATTCCCCAGCACATTGCTAGAAGGCTTTGGGGCGAAACTGGGGCTTTCCTCCAGCTCCCAGATGTCTCCTGTAAGGAAACCAGAACTTCATGCACCATCACACACACCCATCCAAGGAAGCAAGAGCAGGACCTTGCTGCTTTGGTTTTAGGTACCTAAGTCACCATTTCTCTACCTCAGTTTCTGATTATGTGGCGCAGGAGAGAAATACAACCAAAGAGGGTTGGTTTCCAGCAGGAAAACCCCACCAAGTAATGGTTATTGCTTATTTTAATCTTAGACAGCAGTGCTTTTCCCAGAACCATGTATATAGCTTGTTCTAGAGGTAAAATAGAGATGAATTCTCTTGTATTACGCATGGCAATGAGTATGGTAATGGTAATGGTCATGGTGATTACTCATGGTCTCTTGCTACTGCCCGAGCACTGCTTTCACTTGCTCACTGGAAGAAAGCAACCAAGCCATCGGTGCAATGAACAAGAAACTCTCCTGCAGCAGCAGATCCATGTTTCTGTATCACTGAGGTGCAATCGCACAACCTCAGTGGGCAAACGGCCTTGCTGCAGGCACAGTCTCCATTTCCAGGTGCATGGGGAAGTGAATCAGGGAAGCTGAAATCAACGCCGGGGTCGGAATATCTGCGTTTCCAGTGTCCTTTATTGCTCTCAAAGCCAGCGATGCTGATGTGTACCGGCTCCGAAGCCTCACTCGATGAACGCGGATGTACAACCAGCTCAGAAATGTTCGTAATTTATTTAATTTAATGTTGGTTTCATCCTTTCTTTTTTGATAATAAAGAATGTGCGAACACCCATCTGCTGCTGCTGAGCTGAGAGCGGGCTCCCCGCAGCTCCCATCCAGGATGCGGCACTTCGGGACACGTTATGCCATGAAACCAGGCAAGGAGCATGGATTGGAGCGGGACAGCACTGTCACTATCCCACCCCACTGACGCTGTCCTCCTGCCTAACCTGTGCCCCTACAGCCCCTCCGCACGGCCACCTCTTTTACCGTCAGGCACACTGCGGGAGCAGCATCCTGAGCCCCTGCGCTGTCAGCGGGCTCCGGACACGCTCTGAGCCACGCTGAGGGGATGCTCCCGTTCTTGCTCGCTGCGGTGAGGACGGGATGCGGTTCAACCCGTCCCCAAACCGCCCCTTTGACACAGGAAAGACATGGCTCCATGCAGAGAACCCAACACCTCCATCCCATCCCCAAACCGTCCCTTTGACACAAGAAAGACACGGCTCCATGCAGAGAACCCAACACCTCCATCATGGCCCCAAACCGTCCCTTTGACACAAGAAAGACACGGCTCCATGCAGAGAACCCAACACCTCCATCATGGCCCCAAACCGTCCCTTTGACACAAGAAAGACACGGCTCCATGCAGAGAACCCAACACCTCCATCCCATCCCCAAACCGTCCCTTTGACACAAGAAAGACACGGCTCCATGCAGAGAACCCAACACCTCCATCATGGCCCCAAACCGTCCCTTTGACACAAGAAAGACACGGCTCCATGCAGAGAACCCAACACCTCCATCATGGCCCCAAACCGTCCCTTTGACACAGGAAAGACACGGCTCCATGCAGAGAACCCAACACCTCCATCCCATCCCCAAACCGTCCCTTTGACACAAGAAAGACACGGCTCCATGCAGAGAACCCAACACCTCCATCATGGCCCCAAACCGTCCCTTTGACACAGGAAAGACACTGCTCCATGCAGAGAACCCAACACCTCCATCATGGCCCCAAACCGTCCCTTTGACACAGGAAAGACACGGCTCCATGCAGAGAACCCAACACCTCCATCCCGTCCCCGACACCCGACCGCCGCCATTGCCACCGGGCCCGGCAGCGGCTCCCACGCGCGAGCGGAGGGGGCGGGCCCAGCGCGCCCATTGGCCACGCTCCCGGGCGTGGTGCGTGACGATTGGTGCTCGCCCCCGCCTCAGCCGGGGCCCGGCGGCAGGGTGAAGTCCGCCGGGGATGGCGGGCGGGAGCGGGCGGCGGCGGCGGGCGCTGTTGGCGGCGGGCCTGGCCGCGGTGGCCGCGCTGCTGGCGGTGCTGGCCGCCGTGCTGCTCCGCGCCTACGTGCTGCGGGCCCCGGCCGTGCCGCGGCTCTGGGCCCGCCGCGGAGCCCCCGCCGCCTTCGGTGCCGGCGAGAGGCTGGAGCTCAAGGAGGCGCTGCGAGGTGAGGGGGCCCGGCCGGGCCCGCCCGCCCCTGCGCTGCGCCTGCCCGTGGGTGCCGCAAGCCCCGGCCCCCGTTTTCATGGGGTGCCCCGGGGCTGTGCGGTTCCCTCCGCAGGGGGAGGCAGGGCCACGGGGGGAGCGCACTGTGTCCGTACCCTCAGCTGCCGGGTGGTTTTAGGGAGGCTGTGACTGGGACCCGCGTGTTGCGTGGCAGTGATTTGGTGTTGGAGAGCGGCCTTGTCTGCCCCTGTGCTAACTACAAAGACAAACGAGACCTGTCTTTATGAAACAATCTGTTAGCACGGCCCCACTGTTGAAAAAGAAGCTTGAACTGCCGTCTGGCAGCTGCCAGAATAGGCTGTGACTATGAGGAACTGGGTCACCCAGCAAAACGCAGCTGCTTCTGGGCAGTGGCGTTTGTGACAGCATCATTCAGCACATTAGGATGAAGAATGAAGTATCTAGGGAAATACCTTGGCTGGCACTGGAAGGAAGTACTCGTGTGCTGCTTGCACACAGCTCAGCTCAAGCACAGCAGTCTCTTCTGGTAGTGGCAGCTTTTCCTGTCCTGTGCGATAATCCTTAAAGCCTGGAAAACATTCGGGAACAGAAATATTCCTTTCCCTTTTGACATGCAATTTAAGTCTTGTTTGGCTGATTTCCGTGTCGAATGATTTCTATTTCATATTCCATTGAAGGTGCCATTAAAATCCCAACTGTTTCCGTATCTCCAGAGGACTTGAATACAACTGCCATGGCAGAGTTTGGGAATTACATTCGGAAAGGTACTAAACTCATTCTTAACCACCTCTGCTGTTCAGTTTTCTTTTAGTAAATGGAGAGTACATATGGGGTTCTTGCCTAGAATGGAAGAAGCTTAAAAAGCTTTGTTTTCCTCCAGAAAGGACTGGCAAAACCTCTGTACCATGCAGTGATGTAGCATGGCCAGAGCTAGAACAGAGAAGGTTCAAATGGCTTTTTGCAGTGGTGGGGTTTGGTTCTTGACTTATTTAAATGACCTTTTTAATTCCTTTCTTCACAGTCTTCCCAGCTGTGTTTTCTTCAGAGTTCATCCAACATGAAACTGTTGGTGACTACAGCCATCTCTTTACTGCCCAGGGTTCTAACCCTCAAATGATGCCCTACATGCTGCTTGCACACATGGATGTTGTGCCTGCTCCCCCGGAGGGTTGGGAATTCCCTCCTTTCTCAGCTGCAGAGCATGAAGGATTCATCTATGGACGAGGAACTCTGGATAACAAAAACTCTGCCATAGTACGTCGCCTTGGTAATATCCTTTCAGAGAGATACAGAGCCTGACAAAAGGTAGATTGGAGGGATCTGTTCTCTTGAAACTCACTGTATTGTTTCTCCTGCCCCTCTTTGCCCTATGTAAATTGTGTATCAAATGCTGTGTTTGAAGTCAGGGATAGACCTTGTGCACTTTCCCAGGTGTCATATGGGCATTCAGAGCCAAACTTGGCCCTTTGCAAAGGCTTGAGTTTCAAAATAAACACTGTTGATTTAATATTAGAGTCAAATACCGTCTAGCTAGCCTGTGGCAGAACAAAGAGCTGTTGTACGAAGTACATTTGGGAGGAATAAAGTCTGGAAAAGATTGTGAAGGGTTTCTCATTTGGGAAAAGCCTGATGGAAAAATTAATAAGGAAAATAGTCCTTTGTGACTTGCAAAGATCATTTCCATGGCAGCCCTCTATTTCAGTTTAAATAGATGTTTAGCAAAGCAGTGTCCCACAGGCGCCTGTGGCTGCATAGACCATGTTCCTTGAAAGTTTCTTGAGGTTGTTTAATCATCAATATCAAAGCCTTGCAATTTACGGCCTTGGTTTGATGCTTCCTTCTACTGTGAAGTGCATGAGTAACTCCACAAGTGGACAATAACAATGAACAGTTGCAGTGAACATGGCAAAGTGGGAGCTGGCAAGGTGGAGGCAGTGTCATTTCTTCTAAGAGAAGAGATTAGCTTAAATTTAAAAACCAGGCAAGATGATACCAATACAGCAAA